GTGCGGCCCCGCATTGCCGCTCCGCGTAAAGCAGGTTCAGCTTTCGTCTGTTGGCAAGCACAGGGAGCCGTGACGCGTACTTGCTTGCCAATTAAACCCAGCGCAGCAGACGCTTTCCCGCGCTCATTGGTACATCACATGGCCCCCCGGCCTTTCTCCACGTGAGCAGGACGCGCTTGACTGTCTCATGTGGCTCGCCAGACTTGGCTGCACTTGCTGCCGGTTTTCCCTCTTGGGAATCTTTGGCGCACGGCTGTTCACCCTGTTAACCCTGTTCGGCTAGACTTGCTAATTTTTGTAGGTTAGGCAAATGTAGCAAGAGATCTGCAGGTTGCGCCGCTCTGGTGAAATCCAATCCAGCAATCGAGTTGTTATCCGCCACAATCGACAGCAGCTTTATCCAGTCATTCATTTTGCAATTATCCGACTGGCGAGCAGACATCAACCCAACCCAGCTCGTTCTTGCAAATATGAACAGCTATTTCGTCCCCGAGCCGAACTCCACCCGTCAACGGGAGGACCCGCAGGTCGCGGAGTTCGAGAAACGAGGCAACTGCAAGAACTACACGCTGAAGACGCTGGCCGACTGCGTTCGTCAAGATCTGCCTCTGCGTCTGAGCGTGTCCTCAACCACCAAGAAAGACGACTACGTCGTGTACAATTGCACCGTCTCGAGTGTGACCACCAAAACTGCGTGGGGTGTCTCCTATCGCTATTCGGAGTTCCTTGCCTTCCGCAACAAGGTGGAGGAGTTATGGACGTGCAAAGATAAGGACTGCTGTGGTTCGTGTCAAGCCATTCATGATGTCATGGCAGCTTTCTTCCCCAAGAAACGCCCCGCGATCATGTCGACTTGGTCCGGGGCTGTGAATCACCGCAAAACCAAGCTGGAAAATGTCCTGGTGCATTTGCTCCGCTGCATACTGCTCCCAGGAAGTGCGATGAAGTGCTTCCATGCACGTCAGAAGCTCCCCACCAACGTCTTTGAGTTCCTCGGCGTCAAGCATGATGCCGATAAGCGCTCGCTTCTACAAGTCTTTGTGGACAACCACCAGCCCGGCATAAAAAAGTCAGCAACCGTCACCGATCTGTCCATGCTGGAGCACCAGAGCACCATGAAGAAGTCTTCAACCACCCCGAACCTGTCGTCACTGGCTCAGAACATGATTTCCAGTGACTCGGCCAATATGGAGCAATGCATGATCTGTCTGGATGACGTGGACTTGGACGCTTCCCACCAGGTTGGTGTGAACGGTAACTCCCCCATCGTTCTGGAGTGCAAACATGCATTTCACCGGGAGTGCGTCTTCGAGTGGCTGCTGTTTCAATACCAGTGCCCCGTGTGCCGAGCACAGGTGGGCCCTACTGCCGTGACCAACTACTGCCGTCCGAAGAACCAAGTGCAGTGGTGGCTTGGCGACTTCAAAGAAGATCCTTTGAATTCAGTCACTAAGTAAATACCGACACTTAATAGTATGTACACCCTGATGCCTAACCGAACAATAACAAAATGTACCTGCTCCGAGCTTGTCCTGAACTATGTATTTTTTTAAACTGATGATGGAAGATGGGTTTAAATTTATGAATTGGTAGTTTAAAAAAGCTAATAAGGCATTGCCCGAAGTCAAGTTCTAGACGAAGGAAATGGAAGCAAAAGCAAACTTACCGGAGAAAAAGCAAAAATCAAAAAGACTTTGCAATTACAAGATCGACGGAATGCAGAGATCGTCGGGATAAACAAGAAATACCTTTTCGAGAGTGCAGAACGTGAGCTCAACTGCTTCAGCGTACCTGTGAGGAAACGTGGACAATTCATCGCTGGACGCTTCTTCGACTTCAATGCACTGGCAAAAAATGCATTTTGCCAACTTGGAGCCCAAACGTCTTTTTAGCTGGATGGTTTGTTTCGGGTGACGTAAAAGTATCTTAAGGATCTCTCATAGTCAAGCCAACTTCAGTTTTGATTAACAGTCCATCTCCTCCCAAAGCGATTCGCATGTCAGTTTTCG